GGATGGTCAGTTAATTGACGAGCGACTCTTTAAACTTGCAAAAAGTGAACTCGTTTTCCAGGCGTGGAGATGCTAGCAATATAGAAAGACCACTGCTCAGCTGAGGACATCGCTGCTGACCACCTCTACTCTGACTGTATGTCCGCCCTTCACATGATCTCTCACGAGATATCCTATATGGATGGTGACATCGCCAATTTTCTAGTGCATAGAAACTAACACCCAACCCTAGATTGGGTGAAGGGACACGACCTCATAGAGGGCAACGAGACAGCAGACAGGTTGGCCAAACGAGAATTTTAAAAATATGAACATGTCAAGATGACATTAGACAAGAAACAATTCCTCAAGACAATCAAGAGTCAAGCATTGGGGGCATGGAAAAGGAGATAGAGAGACGCGACGAGTGGGAGGTAAACCAATAGTTCCCCAAACCAGGCTGCTGCATATCAAAACCTCTTCTAAGCGGTCTCAACCGACTGGTAGCTGGACAGGGCCCCTTTCCAGAACACCTTGCAAGATTCAAGCTGAGGAGCGACCCAAGATGTACCTGAGGGCATCCCAGTGCCCGTGCAACGCACTACCTTCTAGAGTGCCCACACCTGGAAGGATATAACCAACTAGAAAGAATATCTCGAGGAACAAAAAAGCCAGAAACCTTAAAGAATAATAGGGCTCTCGTGGTGGGGTGGCATATAAGGTTTCCGATAACCTCTATACCACCATTCCAGAGCATAACAGTCTGACTGGCGCCACCTCCCCATGGTCCCCGCTGGATAAGCTCAGTTTCCCAATGCTTTACTGTGAGGATTACAAAGCGAAATCAAACGTGCTGGGTTACAAATCCTCCAAACATGGGCGTTATGAGGTGTCTTTTCCAAGTTATTTCCCTTGCCTCATGAGCCGATATGGTGGCATAATATTGGCGTATAGACTTCGGTCTAGGTAGCCCACTATCCTATTTGGAATATAGCACGCGTTTCCGACGAGGGCGACACGGCCACCAGGAATGTCTCGTCGCTGAATGAAATATCGACCGATCTCTAATCTGCTTTCAATACCCTGGACCGCGGCTTTCTGGTGTCCCTAATGGTCTTCCTGTGGCTACCACTGGCCTTCATCGAGTGGTTCCTCCTCCTATATGCCAGGGCAGACGCAACATTCCGAGCCGAAAGCCTCTACACAAGGCCTTCCACCTACCAAATAGGGTGAGTCAGAGCTGCGCCCTGAGCACTGTACTGTTCAGCCTCGCTATGTGTCTTCTCCTGTTGCGCCTTGAGCAAGCGCTCGTCCCCAGTAATGTGAGGAACATTTCGGCGTAGTGTGTTGCATCTTCGAAGACTTCCGGCGCGCCTCGGGAATTAAAGTGAATTACTTAAAGAGCAATGGCCTATGGTGTGTGCATGACGGACCGCACCGACGCCCTGCTTAGAATCTACTGGTCATCGGAGCAGCTGATGGTGCTGGGCTGCGTAATAACGCAGGGAACGTCATCTTCAACCCAGGAATAACATCTTACACTTCTTGAGGAACCATAGTAAGGTGCGCCCTCTACACCCGCGGCCTTTCCCTAGTAGTAATGGTAATTTAATCGGTGGTCTACCCTTTCATGAATATCTGCCAATATCTACTCAACGATTACACCATTCAGAAGATCCAGACCCGTTTAGCACGATTCTTCTGGGGGCCAGAGCGCACCGCCTGGATACCCGAAGGCATCTTGGCGAGGACCGTCCCTCTTGGAGGATTGGTACTAATGAACATCAGGACTCAACCTTGATTGTGTGCTTGAAGGTGACGCTGCGTGGCGGCCGCAGCGCGTACTCCTGGCTGGTAGAGAGCGGCGGTGGCTCTACCCCCCTCCTGGTTCCCGCCGCGCCGTCTCTGGCTCCTCAATATCTGGAAGGCGGTCACTCTGAGATCCTTGGGCACAATTATATATCATGACTCGGCTTTGTTAGGGTTCTCCCTGAGTGAATTTTTCCCAAAGAATGATTTGACAAATATTATTAATTACGATTTTATATCACTCTAAAGTGAGACAACAATTAAAAGGTAAAAATTTGAAAATGAAACACAAAGTGATGATAGTAATAATGGACCATTAATTTGAATCTTCATGGCTACTAATTAGAAAAAGAGAGAGAGTGATAATATAATAATAACAACAAATTTCATTTGTTATATTATTATCATATTATAATATTCACTTGGTAACACACATTCACTAGGGGAGAAGCCCCTAATCAAGAATATATTTGTTTTAACCAATGTTCATTAGGCAAATTTCACTCAGGTAAAACCAGAAGCCTTCGCTACTAAAATATATATTTCTAAGATATATGAATATTTAATTTAAAAAATAGTATACATAGTAAATTATGATTAGAATAAGTAATGGGTTATGATTTCTTGTGTCGCAAGGGTAAAACATGTCTACACATGCAAAACTGTTCAATATTGTACTTACAAGAATACCAAGGCCGTTTTATTTTAAACAAAATTAAAATAAAATTTAAATACATTTATACTTAATAGTGACAGCCAAAACCATTTATATTAATTTTTGAAAATGAAACTGCTTTCTTAAGGGGGTTGGAATCCAAATTCCTTGTTATCAGCAAGTATGATTTATACTATCAAACTAAAGTACTGTTTACTAATATTCTTGAGAATATATATTTTTTAATTTTAAAATTAGAGATTTTTTGTGCGATGTTATATAATAAATATAAAATATTCCGATATATATATTTTTATAATTATAATTTTTCATACCTAAATATATTTGTCATAGATAAAAATATCATCATTCACATATTTATTTATTTACTCCATGTGTACATTTTTGTTTTAAAGTCTAAAGTCAGCGCGCTATTTTTGCTTACTTTTAAAGACCAAAATTAAATCAATTGTGTATTTTAAAACATATGAACTAAGATGAAGATCAAAACATTAAGTAGAAATCCAGATGAATATATAAGAGAAACCAAATTTGACATAAACAAACGTAGGTTTTAATTATGTTACCAAAAGTATAAAGTTTAGAATGAGTAGTGATTATTTAGCCTTTAGTTTTAATATCTGCCCATTTAATATCGAAGACGATTCTCCATTGAGCAGTACATAAGCGATTTTAAGACTTCTTTAGACAAAATAAATGTACTAGGTTTGTGCAAGCATAATTTTTTCATTAGTATTGCTAATAGCTAGGCAGTCTCCCTTCTAAGTAATAACATGGTATTTACATAACTCTAAAATATCATAATCACACATGATGAAAAAATCAACTGCCAAAAATTTCTTCTCTCTAATCCCAATGCCTAAAAATTGGGCCAATTTCTTTATACAGTAAAACCCCTCTATAGTGAACCCCAATGGGACAGAGCTTTTGGTTCACTATAGCCACGGTTCACTATAGCCACGGTTTGGATTTTTTTTTTTACTTTTCAGAATTTTTAGACCGGATAATTAAAGGACAGCCATACACACAAGAAGAGGCTTCTTCTTAATAGTGGTCACTTTGTTTTAATTCCCTTAATTGACCAATTTCCTTACATTAATACTGAATAATAATAGAAATCATTAGATGATAGGTTCTTCTTATCATTAACATACATGTACCTCTATGTCTAATTTAAAAATCAAGACAAATCCTAGGCAAAGTTTTATTAAATATATATTCAAATATATAAAATGATTTTAAAACATCATTATCTATATTAATAAAATGCAAATTTCATAAGTGTACATCACTAAAAACTTTCGTTACAATGCATCAATTTCAACCAAATTTTCAACATTTATGTAAAACGAGATGGAGCAGGTTTTGCTTAACATCAAAATATTTTTCCCTAACATTAACATGCGTAACTTCGCTGTTATCGATTAAATACAAAAAAAATCAACAGAGTTAATTTTATTTATATATAAATACAAAATTAAATTTCAACAGAGTTATTTTTTTTACATACTAGCTAATAATCTCAATCTAAAAAAATATTCAAAACAAGCAATTTTAAGATAACACCATATGTAAAACAGTCGGCCAAGAAAACAAATAACGTGTAATATATATATAATATAATATATATAATAAAATCTTAAATATTATTTATCAAAAGTAAGATTATCTCAGGATGACACGGCAATTTATTTGAGACAAGAATAATGATACAATTCCAAGGCGAAGATACTATTCCTTTAACTTCCAATTACCGAGGGAACCAATTAATATTGATTTTATTCAACTTATCGAGTATTTTTCAAGGGACCGGAAAAAAATGTTCACTAGATAAAACGATGATTTTGTAATGTAGAAAATTAGGAAAGACAAAATTCAGGATGACACGGCACACAGGGACCGGGAAAAAATGTTCACTTTATCGAGAGATTCAAATTTACAAGTTTCAAATTATCAAAATATATCTTCTTTTTTAAATAAGTTTATAGAGAATTGTTTTAACAAATGTTCGTTAGACAAACCTTTACTCGGGTAAAAACCCGGGCGAAGCCGGGCACATCCGCTAGTCACATTATATAATACATTGTTTACCTGGAAAAATGGCTCTAACACCTTGTTGCTTCAAAGCATTCTTCAAGCATTGCACCATTCAAATAAAGTTAGTGTTTTTCTTCCATTTCATTTTCCCACATCTTCTTCTAGGTCTAGATTTCGTTTTTTTTTTTAACCTGTCATGCAAAACATTGCTGACTTTAAAATCACCATAGTTAATGGCATAAAAATAGTTTTTGTTTCATCACGGGACCATTTATTTGGATTTTTTTTTTTTCAGCCCTAAAACGTACGATTGCCAATTCCAAAAAAAAAAGCAAACGGTGACAGAAATGTTGATGACTCTGATACTTGTATTTATAATTATGTTAGCATAATGAATTAGTCAGTATTCCCATGGTCTCCAGCGAAGAGGTGTGAATTGACTTTTTGAAAATATACATAATTATAAAGATAGAAGCTTCTATAGAAATAACTAAAATAAGCCGAAATAGCTCAGTTGGGAGAGCGTTAGACTAAAGATCTAAAGGTCCCTGGTTCGATCCCGGGTTTCGGCATCTTTTTTTAATTTTTAAATTTTTACTTACCGTAACTTGACACGTGACAGAATTGTGCATGACGCTGATAACTGTATATATTAATTGGAGACACCTGCTACAAAAGAATATGCTCAAACCTATCTAAGGTGGAAACTTGTTGAATGTTTTTGCGTATTTGACCAGTCTGAGAACCAACAAGGTTAAGAAACACTGAGCTAAAGCATCATGTACATCTGGGGGTCAGTAGATGAGTGGTCTAAACTGGCAATGACCTGGGATTGAATCCCTCATTGGGAACATCTAATAAAAAAAATAATGCTCCAATGGCCCCCAATTCTTGCAAAAGTCCAACTCCCATCAGTACTAAATAGCCAAGCAGGGCTATGGCACAATGTAAACACAAAAGTCAAACTGCTTTTCACATGTGTAGACATGTGGTGCACTTACAGTAAGAAGCAATCGCCAACTTACCTACCATGATTATCATGGCCTGTACCACGTGTACTAGGAATAATAATTAAAAAACATACATTTCTACTTTCCTCTGAATAAATGCTGATGAGCCATGATGATAAGAAACATCTTTGATTTACTCTTCTTCCAATCTCAAATTTTCACAAAAGTTCCTTCTTTATTCTCACAATTTCTGTGTGATGAAAAATGACCGTTGTCTAGACTGAGATTGAATCAACTTTTATTACCGTTCATAAAATATTACAGTTGAAAACTAAATAAAATAATAACAAGGATAAATATACATAATGAAATCTATACAGGCTTCATTGGTTTAAATCAAGGGCTACAAGACATCCTGAATAGGCCCTTGGTTATAAATGGGTCTTTGTCCCCAACATGTTCAATTGCCATGTTGAGGAAATCTTGCAGAATGATCTTGTTTTTCTGTCGAGATGTCTGCTAGGCAGAATGTCTACTCATGGGGGGGTTCTAATGTATTATTTTTATTAGTGTGGTGCACTAGAACCTCCATGAGAGGACACTCCAGCTAAAGGGCACCTTTCTATAAAAGACAGGTTTCATTGTCAAAATTACTATTTTTATTATGTAAAAACTCTCTGGTAAGAGGACACCTCTCCATAAGGACATTTTTGCTCTGCAACTAGGTGTCCTTTACAGAGAGGTTTTACTGTTTATGTAAAGCAATATATAGTGATCATGACAATATAACATATTGTTATCATAATTTTAGGACTCTCCAAAATACCTATATATATAAAATTCAGTGTACGTATGTATGTATGTGTGTATCTATGTCGGCTATACACGTCCACAATACGTAACTAATCTGACTGAAATTTTAACAGTATATAGAGTAGAATCTGGAAAAACTTATAGTGAAAATTTCAGGTCTCTATCCCGAATATTCTTCGAGTTATTTGCAAATTGCGTTGCAAATTTGCCTTATCGCTCGCAAGCAGCGCCTCTAGCGGTGAAGATGGGAGGTAATATCAGCTGACCTAATGTACATGTAAAACGTGTTTTGACAGGACATAGAGAAAAATCTGGAAAAGATATTTATCGGATTTTTAGCCAATAAAAAATAAAATTGACAGGTTCTGGGCAAAAATAGTTGTCAGAAAATGATGATGAGAATATTGCTGTATCATGTTTGATTATCAGATACAAAATTATATCGGGAAAAATTCCAAAAAGCTGAGACCACGGGTGAAGCCAGTTCATTTTTAGTGTGCAGGAACAAAATTCTAACAGAAAAACATTCATTCGAGCAGAAGACACAAAGCCAGATCATCTCTTTATAAAAATATCGCTTCTCTGACACAAAGTTTGGAGCGGGACGTTTCACACGAGTGACATCCACGGCGCCAATTTATAATTGTAACGAATAGTACGAGGGTGAGTAGAAAAGTAAGGTGTCCTATTTTTTTTTCATAGAAAAACACATTTAATCACAACTTTTTATACATCATTCGAAAGGTTGGACACTTTGCTATTTTTCTACTTAGTCGCCTTGATGCTCAATCACTTTTTTCATCCTGTCAACCAACTTTGTAATTCCGGTGTTGTACCACTCTCCCGCCGCCTCTTTGAGCCACTTGTCGACCCACCTGGCGGACACCTTTCTGTAGCCGAGGGTCTCAGAAACAATCTTGTGCACGGAGAAGTGGCTGCAATCTTCATTCAGGCCATCCTCGATCTCTTCAAGGGTTATCTGCCGGTTTGCGCGCACCATTTCGTCGATTCGAGCCACGGTTGATTCCGGCAAACTCGGCCGCCCAGACCGCTGTTCATCGTGGACGTTTATCCGCCCCTCGTTAAACTCCCGGCACCCTTTCCGCACATTTTTGATGTCCATGCACTTCTCACCATACACTTCCACTAACTGACGGTGAATTTCGACCGGAGAATTATTTTTTGCATTTAAAAAGCGTATAACTGAGCGCAACTCGCACTTGGCGGGAGAGCTAAGGGGAAGCTCCATCGCGAATGGCTGCCAGACAGCGACTGAGCGTCCCAAGATCACCGGGAAGGTTCTAGACGGTAGAGGGGGAACCAAGGAAGGCAGCGGTGTTGTCGGATTTCACCTAGCAACACGCGTTCGGAAATTATCTCGTAGAAGACCTTACTTTTCTACTCACCCTCGTATTTGAATAAAAACATTTAATTGGGTAAAACCTGGGCGTTGCCCGGGTCATTCGGCTAGTATTCATATTATTTATATAGGCCTTATAAACACAAGGTAATAAGACCAAATAAATAAACAGTGTGTGATGTTTCGGAAACAGCGTTGTTACTATCTTCCTACAAAAGTACTGATTTCAGTACTGCATTCAGTAATTTTGTCTGAAGATGGTAACAACGCTGTTACCGAAACATCACACACTTTATTTATTTGAATTTGGTCTCATTACCTTGTGTTTATAATCTGTAATCCAAATTGTGCATTATCATTTATATAGGCCTTGAATAGAATCTTTGTTTACCTACAGTGATATGTCTCAATGATTTATTCAATAGTTTTGTGATGGAGAAGAGTAACAGACATTGAGTTAGCATTTAATCTTTATATAGATAAGAAAGGATATAGTGTTAAATCTCTAAAGAGAGATCCACTAAACCACATTTGTGTAATTTTTTCTCTCTTCCCGTAATTTTTATTCTAAAATATATCTCATTCCCAATAGACAGCATCTGTATACAGTAGAACCTCAATGAGAGGACACTCCTGATAGAACACCTCTATATAAACAACTGTTTTCTTCACCAAAATGACCATTTTTACTCAATTAGCTTCTCTCTGGTAAGATGAAACCTCTCTTTAAAGAATACTTTGGCTCTGCAACTTGGTGTTAATCTTTAGAGAGAGGTAATTCTGCTATATATGGAGCAGAAAGAGTTTCACTGTTCAAAGTAGATTACAATATAGTTTGCCTTTTGTAGATGTATAATATTTACTTAATTTCACATGTGTACTCCTCAAACATTACAATTACATTTCATGTCAATAATAGCCCCCCTCTCCTTTTGGAAATGAAACTTGAGCAACCCTATATACAGTAAAACCTCTCTATAGTGAACCCTAATGGGACAGAGCTTTAGGTTCACTATAGCCACAGTTGGGCTATTTTTTTTTTACTTTTCAAAATTTTTAGATCGTATAATTTAAGGACAGCCATACATACTGGAAGAGGCTGCCTCTTAATAGTGGTCACTTTGTTTTAATTCCCTTAATTTACCAATTTCCTTACATTAATACTGAATAATAAAAGAAATCATTAGATGATAGGTTCTTCTTATCATTAACATACATGTACCTCTGTCTAATTTAAAAACCAAGACAAATCCTAGGCAAAGTTTTATTAAATATATATTCAAAAATATAAAATGAATTAAAAGCATCTTTATCATATTATATAATACAATGATTACTTGGAAAAATGGCTATAATACCTTGTTGCATCAAATCAATCTTCAAATAAGTGTTTTTCTTCCATCTCACATATTCTTCTTAAGTCTAAATTTCGTTTTTTTAAACCTGTCATGCAAAACATTGCTGGCTTTAAAATCACCATAGTTCATGGCATAAAAATAATTTTTGTTTCATCACGGGCCTGGGATGACGTTTTTTTTTTTTTTTTTTAGCTCTAACACGTATGATCGCGGCAAAAGTTGAGGTTGATTCCTCTTTGTAAACAATTTTAATAGCCTTCTATTTTATCTCTTATAATAGAAAAGTTATATTTTCTTATTTTAACATGTTCTGAAATTTTGCCTGTGTTGTTTCACTTTTGAAATGGCCTTTTTTTTTTCTTTAGTAATAACGTTTTTTATTTGAATGCCTTTGTTTTCTTTATTTTGGAAGCCATTTTCATTTTTTTCTATTTCAAATTTAATGGATGCAAAGATATTCTATTTAATAAAAAGTATAATGTGTAAAAATTATACAACATACATCAAAAATAGAATGCAAATCAAAACAAACAATACCGCTAAATTTATTGTTTTGAAATCGCGATCTGTGAGCTGAAACAAGCTGAAAATTTTGTTGTTTTAATTTTTTTTTATTACAATTTTAAGTTCGTTATAAGCATAGTATTTTAAATAGATTTTATTATTTTGGGACCGAAAATAGGTTCGTTATAGGGGTAGTTCGTTATTTTAAAAATCGCAAAGTTCGTTATAACGATGGTATTTTCAATTGAATGGAATTGGGAATTACCGTAGGTTCATTATAAGGGAAGGTTCGCTATATCCAGGGTTCGTATTAGCGGGGTTTTACTGCATGTGTGTTGGTTTCAAAAGACCATTCCACCCTTGTCAAGGGGAATGCTAACAGTCTTTCAACACATCAAAACTGAGTAGATACAGTAGAATGTAAAGGACACTTAGTTGTAGAGGCAAAGTGTTCTTTAGGGAGAGGTGGCCTCTTACCGGAGAGTTGCTAATTAGTGAAAATGGTAATAATGTCACTGAAAACTGTCCTTTGTAGAGCGATGTCTCTAGCGAGAGTGTCCTCTCATGGAGGTTGTTCTACAGTACAC